CCTAATAGTAATGGAGTTTGACTGTAAGAATAAATAATTTATAAATGGAAGCTCAACAAAAAAATTGAAATAAAAAGATTTCAAGACCCACCTCTAGTCTTGATTCCTATCCAGTTGAGATATCGGCAAAGTTTCTTGGAGATATACGTTTTTCCCCGAGCAGGAAGTCCAACCATAACGATGACATTGGGAATGCGCACTTGGTCTGAACACACGGACCTTACCATAGCTGCGGCGACTGAACGTTTGATGAATTCACCCTCGCCACTCTCAAAGGCGGAAGGCCTCTTTTCCAGAATGCATGTGTATTGATTAGGGAAAACCGGAAATGACGAAATACCAGAACTTGACTCAGAGAACGGACATTGTCCGTTGCCTTGCTCAAGTTCCTTGAGGAAAAAGTAGCAAGTGCTCTCAGGGAGCCGCAACTTTTTTCGCTCTCAATGGGCTTTTTGCGCCGAAAAGAAAAACGAACACAGAAGTTGGTTCATTGCTTCAAAAACTTGACTCTTTTTATTATGGACGTCAAAAATTCATCATACCAGTGAAAAACTTTTGCAGAATGACTAACATCCATCTTCTTCAGAGAATATCAATTAGGGTACCTGCATGCTAGGCTGAAATTGAGAGCGTTCTCATAACGCTCTGCTGCATGTAATCCAGAAAAGAAAAGTTACTTGTATACACGTTTGTATTCGAAAAATAAACCCCGGTAGGTTACGTGAATTAAGCGATTTTGCTACTTACTTCACATAGAAAAGGATTTCAAAAAGTCATTTTTCATTATCTCCATCAGATTTGGTTTTCAAAAACGTGCAGTTGTAATGCAAGGAAATATGTCCAACACAGTCAAAAAATCCACTAGAGGCAAGGTGAAAAAAAAACTTAAAAAACGGTCGCAAAAAAGGTAAACGTATCGGGCTGGATGAAACGACTTGCACCAAATTCTAAAAACATTCGAATATTTTGAAGCACCTTTTCCATCTGCACATAAAATATCAGTAGAACAATTTATTGTATAAAAGGTCATGTCATTTTGATCCTTATCAAAACATAGAAGGAATTTTCAAGTTTAAAGACATGCAATGATGGTTATAAAATCAAAATTGATGCATGCTCGCCTGCTTTTTTGCACAATTTTTTTTAGTTAAGTCTTGCGTTGAGGAAAGAATTCAGCCTACTGGAACATTCAGTTTTTTGAGAAATAG